ATGTACAGTAGCTCGAGAGACGGCTAATTTGGAGTTGAGCTGGACCAGCAGCACCTTCTGATTTTGGAGACCACCTCACCTCAGCAGACATTACAGAACTTACCTTCTGTACTGCACGGAACATCGTATTTTACACTCACAAATTGTAACCATAAGGTAACGCCCACGCTTGATTCATGCATAATACAATATTCAATATGCAACAGATAGTCGTCTTCCATCACCACTGGCTCACGATAGCCCCTGTCGCCGTCTCATCGCGGCATATATCTCCACTCAAGCACCCCCAGAACATGAGCTTTTAGTGCCTAACTGCATCAACAACCGCCTGATGGGCCATCTTAGGCCCAATATCAACAGCCAGTAACGTTGCAAAGGTGCCTTGTAAACCACCTCTCGTCCCGTATCTTGTGGCTCGACTATTCCTGGCTTGTCTAAGCCTCAGTGATTAACCGCCGCCATATTGTCCTCTTCACCTTAATCCGACACTATCACAGACCGATAATAATGTCGAGCTTGGTTCATGATAATATTCATAGGCCGCGTTATTACTTACGTGGAGAGGTGCGAATCACGGCTGCCTGTTAATAGCTTCGTGAAATGCGTACTACAAGCTGATGAATACACTAGGCATCACAATTATCAATGCATGGGACTGGTCAGATTTCTTTAATGGGCAATTACTGTCAATCTTCATATCACTGTCTGAATAGTTTCCCATGGTCTCGACTCATGCCAGCAAGGCGATTCGTTCGACAGTCACGCCAAAATGAAGCTAATCATTATCATGTACGTCAAGGCAGTTTCTCTTCCAACCATCACACGTTCCTTAATCAATAAGGGTAACTATACTAGTTATCTTGCTTGGGGTTAGCGATCGGAGCTCCTTCATCCGTCTCAATCACATTTTAATCACAGCCCAATAGAAGCATATGGGAAAGACAAATTTATGTTTCGCTCAGTCTATGCATGAAGCATGTCACATGTTCAAACTCACCTCCATTGATAGGTAGGGCATCCTAATGGTCTGCCGAACTATCAAAGTTACAGTACTAGACCATCATCGATTCGCTCAACTCAATATCACTCACATACAAAAAGACCCTCATCTGATAACTCGGAGCTAATGCAAGTGACGCTGGCCTCATCCTAGCCAGGAACGCCCACTCTATCTACCATTGGTCAGTTCTTCACAAAACCAACAAGGAATCCCGCCCCAATCCGTAGCAATGAGCGGCCCGCTTCTGCAGGGGTCTTGATCTCTCTCAAAGGGTCGCCGCGGCCTGTTATGCGACCCCATCTCTAACTATACCAACCCGTGCGCCACGAGCTCGAGAAATGACCAACCGTGTAAGCGGTCTGTAAACCAGGTGGTTTGCGCAATATGAGGTCCTGCTTCTGTACATCGACATCTTAAGTTTGCAATAAAGGTGGAGATACATTGCCTTATAGGATGGTCTCAAATATTTGAACTTTAGTTGGGCAGAGTCACATCAGACCACTCCAAGCTAGCCCCAAGGCTCACTTGTCACACCGCAAACTACCTCGATGTGTCGGGTGCTATTGACGACGGAGTTGATCACTCTTCTAGTAAATTAGCCGACGGCTTGCATTTCTTGATCGCAAGACTAATCTGAACATCACCGGATCCACCTGTTGGTCCCCAGACTGAACATTATGACTACCGACGATAAATCATTGCCGGTAAATCAGGGTCCACTATCAACGTTCTCCTGAAGGTATTCGGGGTGTAGATGGCCTTTGAAGAGATTGCCGAGGAGCATTCAGTCACTTCTCTTATAATGATTTTCCAAGCTTATCACTTTTTCCTGGCCAGTATGCTTATATGTGATAGGTAAGATGGTATTTTCCCTTATGATGCGTTGGCCAAATAACGGTAGCTAAAAAGCTGTTTAAGCATGGGAGTAAACCTTACTTTCGAAACATGTATTTAATAATAGGGTGGTTATTAAACAAAAGACCACTCATGAATAATAACAAGCCCCTTGAAATTTAGCCAAGCATTTATTATTCAGCAAATCGTTCACGTTTTGAACCATCTATTCTACATTTGGTCTCCAGGGTAAGGGTGCATAAAGACGGTATCGGTAATACAAAGGTATAGGACGCTGACTGCCTGCGTGAGTCAAATTTAACAGAGACCATGGCCTAGGTGAGCGTACAGCGTTGTGTAGAAGCTGAGATGTCTTTTATATAGTCCCGTGACGTCCATGAAACAGCCCGGGATTTGCGGCGCAAGCATATAAAAAAGCGGGACACATCCGGAGGCCAACGTCCGGCCGGATCGGGATCGAGTCTAAAAGCCTTCATCTTCGCTCATCTGACGTGCCAAGCCTTGCGAAGATGTACGTATCTTTACAAAATGAAGGACCAACGAGTGATGTAATTATACTGGGTCTATCGAGAACCTCGCATTGCATGACCTTGATTCAATTATCATTATCGCCTGACGTCAACGATAGTGATGACAAAATGACGATGAATTCGGCTGTTGGAATTCAACATTATATCAGCCGCGCGACTGGCCATATATCAATAAGAACTGTTACTGTTCGGCTGCTCACTGTCACTCACCCAGAAGAAACATTACAGTTCTTTTGCATTGAATCTCAAAATGTCGACACCAGCAGCTCCGTTCTATCAGCTCCGTTGCGGCTGCAACCAATATCCATGGGGCAAACAAGGCTCCAACTCTCTATCTGCCCGACTCTGTGAAAAGACGCCAGGATGGGATGGAGATGGAAAGAAGAACTTTAAGATCGATGAGAATAAGCCATATGCTGAAATGTGGATGGGCACATATCCCGTTTTGCCATCCTACGTCGCCAGCACAGGCGAGGACCTCCAAGACGTTCTGGACAGATACCCGAAGGAGCTCTTAGGAGAGAAAATCACTACAAAGTTTGGACACAGCAAGCTTCCATACCTTCCCAAGGTTCTATCCATTGCGAAAGCATTACCATTGCAGGTTCATCCTAACAAGGAGTTTTCGAGCAAGAAGCACAAGGAGGATCCGGACTCATTCACGGATGGCAACCACAAGCCAGAAATCGCTCTCGCATTGTCTGAGTTCGAGGCTTTTTGCGGCTTCAAACCTGTTGAGGCTATCGTGGATATCTTGCGCCAGAAGCCACTGAGACACTTCCTTGTTGCCGGTGGTGCAACTGTCGCGGATGAGAAGCTTAGCCAAGAAGGGTTGAAGCAGGTCGTTAAGACAATCTTGACATCTTCTGACGAAGACATCAAGAATGCTTTCCAGGCAATCCGAGAACTCCCCGACTCTGCTTTCACGGGACTCAACTCAGCCATTCCACAGGTCGCGAAGAAACTCGAGAAGAACTTCCCAACGAACGACCCTGGTAATCTGGTCGGACTGTTGTGTATGAACTACATGCTGCTCCAGCCTGGCGAGGTTATCTACATTCCTGCAGGTGGAATTCATGCCTATATCCAAGGCGATATCATTGAATGCATGGCACGTTCCGACAATGTTCTCAACACTGGATTCTGCCCCAAGGCCGAGCGAGACAATGTCGATGAGTTCTGCTCAGTGCTTAACTGGGAGTCCACGACCAAGTCACAGACGACACTGCAGCCCGAAACTTATCCTGGAAGCAAGCAGGGCAAGACCCAGCTCTTCAAGCCACCTACCAGCGAGTTCAACGTGCTTGCGACTGATTTGAAGTCTGGTGAGCGCGAGGCTTTGAGCGAAGGTGGTCCAAAGATCATGCTTGCTACACGTGGAAGTGCAAGTGTCAAGGCAAATGATCAGTCGTTTGAGATATCCGAGGGCCATGTATATTTCATCGCTCAAGGAGTGAAGCTGGACATCACTGCTGGTAATAATGGTCTGTTGTTGCATACTGCGGTTGCGGAATGATTGACGATGACGAGTAACGAAGAAGACGATTCAGTCTGTAAAACTAGAGGATAGATTGATAAATGGAGAAGCCCCTTAAGCCTGTAGTTCCTATAAACGTTGTGAAGCCTAGTGTGTAAATCCTAATGTTCAATTCTTAACCATTACCCATGGGTTCGTTGTTGGTGTACTGGCTCACTGGACGGGAACCAATTCGTTACTGAAGTTCGTTTGCCAGCCATTGCGGCATGGAGGGAACACCTGACGATTCAAGTTCGACTTTCGCGTGGTGGTGTTCTTAATGGATCCGCTTGTGAAAGTCTAGGCTCATATATCAATACTGAGAGTTGCACAAGTCATCCCATCTCGTACCAGGCTTGCCGCAACCTCGATACTTTACCACCACATAAGCAAAGATTGAACACTTTGCCTATGGCTCCTGATAATAACTACCTAGACGAAAGAGCAAAAAGATGAAAACATACAACAGCGGGGATTCGCTGGTCGTCACCGACCCAACTACTAATCCGCCGGTTAGTGGCTTGACTATGGGAGAGCGGACGGGATCCCGTATTTTCCACTACCTTTGGTCGTATGTACCTGATGACCGTAGGAAGAGGCCTATATGCTTAGCATTCTGTTGACACGTAGCGCCTCGAGTACTCTATCGATCGTAGATCGTGTTCAGGATGGATAATGGAGGATCTAATAGAGAACTTAATGGAGAGGGGAGAAGGAAAGCATATTACTGCGCTTATGATAATCTGATGGGGAAGGGAAGAGGAAGTTGGGATGCGGTTGCGATGCGGTTGCAGGTGGTGTTTTAGGCAGGCATGGAGCATTGGTCAGACAGGTGCACTGTGTCAAATGTGAGCCACTGGGGCGGAAGAATGGACAGTGCGAGCGCTCCGTGATTCACCTTCTTTTCACAACTTCACAACACTCATCGCCATGACACTCCCTCAGACACAAATAAATCTCGAGGCTGATCTCCATACATCTGAACGATCAGGCGGATAAATGATATACAGCTCCCATTTTGTCCGAGTTCCGTGAACGCCTCCTTTATTCTGCACATTCCGCTTTTGGCGAACTCGCTGTTCACGTCTGAGTATTGCAAATGTCAACGTTCAACGGAATTGTGTCTGAGTTTCCAGACGTACGAAGTCAGTTGATTTCCGAGAAGTGGTGAACATGGTCTAACAAAATCTCAGTTGATTTCTTCCGGCACAATGCCAGTGCACAACCACCACTTGCTTGTTTCCTAAGTCATGTTCACAGCGACCACTTGGCTGGGATTGAGACCCTGCGATCTCCATTGTACGCCCCAAATTTTGGTTTTAGTACTCTGCTAATTGTAAATGTAGTGTCTACTGCTCAGCATCCACTCGAGAGATCCTTCTCCGTCTTGAACGATATCCTTGTCGCATCAACTATGCCAAGGGTGTGCTAGAATCAAGACAGCAAACCTTCAGGCATCTCCACAAAGTCTTGGTATGTATACTCTCTATTTCCTCGACTTCATACTGAAACGAATAGAAACCCCTGCCTTTGGAAACCCCTACATCGATCGAGCTTCGTCCAGGCCGCGAGATTCAGGTAACGCTTTTTGACGCCAACCATTGTCCTGGAGCGGTGATGTTCTGTAGGTTGACACCCAAAGCCGACCTTTACCGTTTCTGACCAAATCAAGTGGTTGAAGGAGGTAACAAAGCAATTCTTTATACAGGAGACATCCGGAGCGAACCATGGTTTGTCAATGGAATATCTCGGAACCCTAATCTCATCGAGTATACGTCGGGCATCAAGACTCTCGACAAAATTTATCTTGACACGTCTTTCACCGAAAATGTGCCTTTCCAGACGAAAGCCCAAGGCATTGCTGAATTGTTGCGAAAGGTTTCTCAATACCCGAGTGATACGATCTTCCACTTACAGGCCTGGACTTACGGATATGAAGACGTCTGGCTCGCCTTATCTAAGGCTTTAAAATCTAGAGTCAGTCAGAATGACCTCACAGTCCGCTGAAATCTGATCACTGATATTAGCAGATTCATGTCGACGATTATAAACTCCGCATCTATGGTTCGCTCAAATCAAACACCCCTGACTCGCGTTTCAACACAGACATTCATCTTACTCCAGAGTCGCCTGCTCTGACCGGTCACATGTGTGGCAACACGCCACATCCAGGGTGCTTAACATCAGATGTAAATGTCCGCTTACATAGTTGTGAAAAGGGAAAATTATGCGAAGTAGCTCAGAGACCTACCACTGTATCTATTCAACCTATCATTGCCCACCTGCCTACAGGAGAAGACTTGGCTGAAGTTGGCGTTGGCGGCGGTGGAGATGATCTTCAACAAGAAGCCGAGTTGGAATTCCTGGACCAAGCAAGCTTGGCCACCCTGTTCAATACGTTCGTCCACTACATCACTTTTGCGGGAAGCATGCTAATCATGAATCCAAGGGCCCTCTCCTCATCTGCTTCTTCGACCGATATGTCAGACATACTCAAAGGGGCATTGGAGAAGATAGTCTCCACCGGTCGCAACATTCCACTGGACTGGGACATTGGCACCTTGAACGCTCACTCAGCTGAAGAAGTTATCATCATGCTGGTGGATAGATTGAGAAAGAATCCCAAGAATCAGAAGCGGCATGACGAGTGCAGCCTCCCAAGCACCATTTACTTTCCATATTCAAGGCATTCTTCGTTACCAGAACTCTGCCACTTTGTCGAAGCTTTTCGGCCACTAGACGTGTGGCCATGCACTGTCAATCCTGCCGAGTGGCTAAAGAATGGTAAGTATTGCATATAGACCTACAGGTATTTAGCTGACATATATAAGGGATCACCATTGGGGCCATGTTTGGGCGATCATGCTCCGGCGAACTATTCGAGCATGATTTGCTGATGCAAGATTTCGCTGCCAAACACACATCAGACGACGGGCATCAGCAACATGGCAGCCAGACAACAATTGGATCCGACTCTGCACCAAGCTCACCGGTCAGTGAGTCGCAGGGTACATTTCAGAAACCTCCCCCGAATGTAGATCATCGATTCGTGAGCCCCTTACTGGATACCCAAGCGAGCGTTCGTCATGAGCGCGTTGCCTCGGAGCCGGAAGGCCCATGGCAAAACCTGGTAGCTCCATCTAAAAACTCTACTCAACGATCACTCGTAGTCCATACCATCGAGCAAGCAGAGGATGTGCAGCAAGAGAACCACAGTCATTCGGCATCACTAATAGATAACTCATCCAATCCGCCAGCACCTGTTTCGTGCCGCCACAAGCGTACCGTCTCCGATATTTCAGGGGGAGGAACTGATAGCAATCGGCGACAGATGCACCGCACCACTGGAGAGCTGTTGCATTTGAGCTTATCGGAGGGGGACTCGATCGCTCGCCGAGACGCATATTGGCATATGATTGATTATATGGACGAGGATACTTGGGGCACATTCCAGCTTATATCTACGAGTAACGAGTACACAGTCATTGAACAGGAGCTATGATCGAAGGTATGTTTTATACCTACAATTCATCTAATCAGCTCATGGTTCCAGCTAAGGTTCTTAGGTTCGAGGCTTTTATTCTCGGGCAGAATATAACTTTACATGCTGCTTTTGAGGCACTCATGCCTATACAACAGCTTCAGCAACCATCTGTTTGGGCCATTGCATCATTTCTAAGAAATTTGCCCTCCCGCTCAAGCCCTCTTCTATCTTGGCCATCACCTGTCGAGACCAACCCCTCGTGAACCAGAAGCTTTTCTCGAATACTGCCCAGTGCACAAGATAATGGGCGAAAAGAAGAAGAGCGTGGGGTCTATGTGCAGCGAAGTCAAGAATTATACTATCATCAATAATGTATAGCCAAAAATGCGCTGCCGCAACCTCGGCGTGTAACCCAGCAGCAGCGAATAGTCTTGCGGAAGTTTCTAGACCGTCCAAGGCTGTTGCATAATGTTGCAGGCCGCTAGCAGGGATGTCAGCTTCTTGAAAGGCTCGAAGCCTTTGCAAGGCGCTCCAGGTATTTGTGGGCAGAGACGAGTTTTCAAGGGAGGGATAGCTGTGGTTTGCGTCAGCTTCTTTCCAGACAAGATCATAACTTTGGGTGTGGGTACCGTTCTGCCTCATCATCAGAATCAAACACCCAAATTCCGAAGACGACAGGAGCAAATTCTGTTCTGACGATACGTCCAATTGCTGGTTCTAATGTTGTCTTGATACCCCTTAACAGGCCAGCTAATTCGATGAGATTCGTGATAGGGTCTTCTAGTACACAGTTGTCCATCCGGGTGGGTAGGGTCAACATATGCAACACAACGAGAGATGCAAAGCCAAAAACAGGCATCCAATTAGTCATGTTGTAGTGTTGGAGGTAACGACGATAGCCCTCGGATCCAAGAGTCTGATGATAGTCAGCCAATGGCAAATAGGTCTTGCGACTAGCGGGCATCAGATAGGCTTTGTGGGCTGCGGCAATGGCAAGGATTCCATGCATGACGAAAGGGTCTTGATAACCTAATCTTGGAATTGCGACGCCCCAGACGTATGCTAGATCTTTCCGGACGCACAAGGTATCTGCGGTTACTGTGCAGTAATGATGCATAAGCTCACAATCGCGGGCCCAGAGTTCATGTGGAGGAAAGGGAGCAATCTGCTGTGTGGGACTGGGGTGACTGTAGCTGTCAAAGTGGTCAGGGGAGTTGACCAGATGATGGTTGTCTAAGGAACTCAGAGTTGGAGCCGGGGTTGAAATTGAGGGGCTCAAGTTGGGAAAATATGATGAACGACTGTCACTGCTGCTGTCAACTGAAGATATCCCTTGACTGGTTTGAGGTTGTGATGAAAGACTGCATGTTACGCCATGCCTTGTGCAGTGGAAACATGATGGTCGAGCCTCATCACACTATTTCCGTTAGACACAGAAAACGGGTATGTAGCAGCTTAAAACTCCCGTAAGGAAAGGGTGTTATGGCTTACGAACCTTGACTTTACGCTTCTTACAGTTTATACAGCCTGTCCGAGACTTGGTATGAGTTCTCCGAGAAGACATTGTATGATTGGTTTGTCAACCCGCGGATTCGTATCACAAACAAACATGAAAGCGAAGAGAAAATTGAGAGACAGGAGGAAATCAGCTTAGAGACACTCTTTTTCACATGGACTCGGGACAATGTAAGGCGAGGCAATGACGAATACTCGGAAACGAGCCTTCTATACGCGTACTCGGAACCGCTAGGCTTGTTTTAGGAAAAGACTGCATGTCAGCATCCTTGTCGTGGGGACGTTGAGGCTCCCGCTAGTGGGAGATCGACCAATCTGAAGCAAAGGATCATGAAACTTGAGCTTCATTGGGATAAGAATGGATATTTGCGAGTACTCGCAAAGAATTCGGAGATTTATCAGATGGATACGGGAATGGCCGTGGCTGTGTTGAAGGGAGTAAGTTCGAATAGAGAAATATAGATTATAAGAAGACGTGAGGACAGCTGGGTATTGTTTCTTCTGGTGGTGTACGAACTGAATATTGTTCAGCTGTTCTGCGATTATTAGCAGGTTTGCTTCTTTGTGTTGGCTACTCGTTCTTTTCCTTTCCTTTCCTTTCCTTTCCTTTCCTAGCCCTTCTTCTTTTGCCTTTCAAACTTTATCTTAACTTTCACTGTACATCGGAAACACTAGACGAGTGGTTACCATGGACTGTAACCCCAACTACAAGGATGCCGTATGGGCATTCTATCGATTCGTACCCTCGAAAGAGGCAAACGTTGTGTTTGTAGTTCTCTTCGCGATAACGACGCTCCTACACGTCTTTCAACTCTGGCGAACGAAAACATGGTACCTGATACCATTGGTTTTGGGCGGCGTCTGTACGTTTTACCGACATTCCGATGCGAACAGGGATACTAACCCATGCCAGGTGAGGTTATCGGATATATCGGACGGGTTTTAAACACAAACGAAGAACCGGGATGCTGGACCATGGGACCCTACATCATGCAGAGTGTCTTAATTCTCATTGCGCCTGCGCTCTTTGCAGCGTCAATTTATATGATTCTGGGAAGAATTATTCTCTTGACGGAGGGTGAGCACCACTCGTTGATTAGACGGAAGTGGCTCACCAAGATCTTTGTATTTGGCGATGTTGCATCGTTCATGCTTCAATCATCAGGTATGACACTTGTCTTTGTGAATGATTGATGAATTACTGACTTTTTAGGTGGTGGTCTCATGGCCATTGCAGATCTCAGCAAAATGGGCGAAAAGATCATCGTTGGAGGCCTTTTCGTTCAGCTCTTCTTCTTCGGTTGCTTCATCCTCGTAAGCGCGGTATTCCACATTCGAATGCATCGAGACCCCACCCCGAAATCCTTAGAATCTCGCGTAAGATGGCAGACATATCTCACGACACTCTATGTCACAGGCGTTCTGATCTGGGTGAGAAGTCTGTTCAGAGTGGTTGAGTTTATTGAAGGAAATGATGGACACTTGATGCGCAGCGAGGTTTGGGTGTTTGTGTTTGATGGTATGCTGATGCTGTTGGTGTTGGTTTGGATGAATTGGTTCCATCCTGGCGAGATCGGACTTCTGATCAGAGGAGAGAGAAGTATCACGAATGGACTCGAATTGGTCAAGATGGGAGGATCGGGGAGAAAGAGACTCGATACTATGGAGAGTATATCATCTGAGCAGAATGTTTAAGATAAGAGATTTGCAGTAGTATCTATCATGAGATACTGATGCTAAAATAGAATAGTGCCCCTCCAGCTGGAACTTCCCCCTGTAAATCGAAAGCTTAGCGCATATGCCAACCAATCACCCAATTCCTAACGTCATCCATCCCTGGGCCTGAGACGGACAAGACATCTCCCAAACTAACATGATGCATTCCAAGAAAAAAGACGGAACTAACTGCTACGGTAGCTTCATGGGGAAGTACCTCGGGATGACAACTGACTTATCAATATGATAGCATTAGCATTAGCATTTCAGCTGAGTTGATAGGAAGTGGCCCCCGGCTAAGGAGATGGGTTTTATCTAGTCTGGCAGTTCCTCTTCTTCTCTTCTTTTTGTTTCTTTTGTAAATATTCTTGTTAATTGATCGGATCTTCTCTGGAGAAGTGTCATCATGACTGTCCTGGGCGACATATTGACCGAAGTCACCTTCACTCGCGTCTTCCTCTTCGGCTTTCTCTTTCTACTCGTATCGTTCATTGTCGATTTACTTACTCAACCGCGTTATCCCTCTGAAATTCCAGTTCTTGGTCACAGTTCAGAGAAATGGTTCTCTAGTATCAGGAATAGCCTCGCCTACTTCACTCAACACCAAGCCTGGATCGGCGAAGGCTACGAAAAGGTAACCCCTCTAACCCACTATCCCACTACTCATTTCTAAGGGAAATAGTATGGCAAAAATGGCCTCCCATTCATCGCTCCAGCGCCTATATCGCGTCCTCCAGACGTCATCCTTCCCCGTTCACAAATCGCCTGGATGATGGACCAACCCGATCGAATCCTCTCGGCATCCCACGCCCACGACAAGATTCTATACACAGAGTATAACTTCCTCGGAAAAGATCTCGCCGCGGAGCCCTTTGCGAATCGCGTCATGCACAAGTATCTCGCCCGTAACCTGTCGTCAGCGATACCAGCAGTCGAAGACGAAGTCAACGGTGCTGTTGAGCATGCACTGGAGACCATGATGAAAGCAGCTGCTGAGAAAGACCCGGAAAATGTCGACGCTGAAGGCTATACGAAGGTCAATCTTTGGGATCTTTGGCTTGCAATTGTCCCGCGCGTTACGAACCGTCTCCTCGTTGGCAACCCAGCATGTCGAAATCCAGACATCTTAAAGCCGATGGTGAGCTTCACCGACAACGTTGTAATGAACAGCTTCTTGCTACACGGATTTCCGCAAGTTCTTCATCCGATTATTGGCCGTTTGATCACCATACCGAATTATCTCCATTGGCGCAAAGCATCTCGTATCTTACTGCCGATTATTGAACAGCGCCTGAAAGATATGCAGCGTCAGGAGGCTGGTGATCCTGAGATGAAGAACTACACGCCTCCAGAGGATTTCATCACTTGGGATATTCGTCTTGCGATGGCAGAGAAGAAGCCGTTCGAGCTTGATCCTGTTGTCATCTCTAAGCGACTCTTACCTATCAACTTTGCTGCTATCCACACAACCGTCCTGACAGGTCAATCTTGGATGCTGGATTTCCTTTCTTCTCCGCCATCTGTTCTCGACACACTGCGCAACGAGATCCTCGAACACAAACCTTCCGAGGGCCACTGGACGAAACAGACCCTATCTTCTCTCGTACGCGTCGACTCGTCCATTCGCGAATCCCAGCGTGTAAGTAACTTTGCCGCCAACCTCATCGAGCGACAAGTTATTGCACCAGAAGGTCTGCATAACCCTGATTACGGATGGACGTTGCCGCGCGGGGCATTCGTGACGGTCAACTTGCAAGGAACGCACCACGATGATGAGATTTATGAGGACGCTATGAGCTATGATCCCTGGCGATACTCACGAGTCCGAGAAGAGTGGGAGGCGAAGTCCGCTGAGGAGAAGCAAGAAAAGGAGGAGGAGGCGAAGAAGATTAGGGGATTGGGAATGGTGACAACTAGTGATGCTCACTTGGCCTTTGGACACGGTCGACATGCTTGGTAAGTCTTGTAGGACCCGCATGTGACTTTCTATGCTAATATTGTGAAGCCCTGGCAGATTCTTCGTTGCTCATGAGCTCAAGCTCATTATGGCTGCATTCCTTCTCAACTACGACATCAAGACACTCGAGAAGCGACCAAAGCCCCAATGGATGGGCGCGACGATCATTCCTCCCCTGGGCGCATGCATTGAAATTCGACGAAAGAAATCAACATGATTCATTCAGCTATCACAAAATCTAGCTGTACCCTCCGTGTGCCCCTCCGTCATTAAGAGTCACCCCGTTACGCTTGTCCTCCATCAGCCTCGTTAACGCCGTCACCAACTTGTCAACAGCCAATTCAGACGTCTGATGATGAAACACGAGTCTGGCCATAGGGAAGACCGAAATATCCTCCTTTGCGCAATACTCAACAAATGCCGCGGGTGGAATCTGAGCGGCTTCCAAGTCCAGCAGAATCATGTTGGTCTGAACAGGAAGAGCGAACTTGTATCCTACAGCTTCGAGTCTTGCAGCAGCATCCCTCGTCATGGCGTGCACCGATGGAAACCTCGGAATGCTATACTCAAGCGCTGACAGAGCTGCAGCGGCCATCATACCAGGTTGTCGAGTTCCTCCTCCCAACATCTTCCTAAACCACTTTGCCCGCTCAATGAAAGGCTTCTTGCCGAGGATGACACTGCCCATTGGAGCACCTATGCCTTTGGCTAGACAGATAGATATGCTGTCAAAGCAGGCTGCGTAGGCCTTGAGATCAACTCCTTCTCCGATGACGCCGTCAAAGACACGAGCTCCGTCGAGATGCATGGCAATGGGCTTCTGACCTTCCGGTACAGGGAATGAACGGACATAGTTTGAGATGGCTTGGGCATCAGCAAGCGGTAGAATAGTGCCTGAAAGGGTATTCTCAAGAGATACGACCCTTGTAGGCGGAAAGTGAACTAGCAAGTTAGCTGCGTATCATTTATCAGGACAAACCAACGTACTGTTCCCACCAGCGATGATGTTCTTCTTAACATCCTCCAACGTCAAATGCACTCCATTCTTTGCATGAACCGTCGTAACACTCGCCTGCGAAATCACCGGCAGAGCACCACTCTCCCAACAATGCACATGCGCCCTATGATCCAGCAGCACACTATGCGGTGGCTGGGTAAGATGCGTTCTCAGACAGATTTGGTTCCCCTGAGTGCCCGAAACAGCCCACAGAGCAGCCTCCATGCCCGTCAACTCGATAAGTCGAGCCTCAAGGGCCTTGACAGAGGGGTCGCCTTCAGGATCATAGATATCGTCGTTTACTGAGGCCTCGAGAATAGAGGTCATCATCTCCTCAACGGGGACGGTTACGACATCTGAGCGGAAGTCGCGAGAGGCT